TTCACAAATCACTTTCTCCACATATTTGCTTTGACTACACCTCCATCGCCTTGACTTGTGAGGAAATATTTATCGTTTTTACTTTCTTTTTAATGACTGTTTGTTTTCTGGCGTTGTGAGTCTTTTCCCCTTCACATAGGTGTGTGTGTGTGTGTGTGTGTGTGTGTCAGCTGAGCTCGGAGCGTCTGTCTTGACGGCTCACGGCTTCTGATTCCTTCCTAATGGCAGAGAGGAGTACAGTATTGTATGTCCCCTCCGGGCGCACATACCTGAGCGGAGAAAACAGGCTACAGCACACACCGAGGCAGCATTACACACACCAACACACATGAGTCACACACACACATTGCATTACTGTGGCCTGAAGTCACTCAGGGGAAACACACCCTGCTGCAAAAAAACAATACACACATATATATTCATCCAGCCACTGTAACACACTCCTATCCTGCTACAACACGCACACACGCACGCACACACACACACTGAGCCCTCAACTTCTGTGACTCACAGTAATGGTCACAGTTGTGTTTATAAAGAACCATGTAATTTGTGTCTGAGTGTTACATGGCATTCTGCAGTTTAATGCCCATGTAGCTACGCTGCATTAGGCCTCTGTGTGCACGACACTGTGGCAAATCGGCAACGCCTGCACGAAACATCGGCTGACTTTCCCCTCTGTCGTGGATACAGGTGTGATTCCACACAGATCTGCACTGCTGGAGCTTTATTGGTTTTGTTTACTTAAATATCTTTGTACCTTTTGTTTCTTTCTATTAAACCAAACACATCTACTTGTGTGGATCAGTGTTTGAAGCCTGAGCGCTTCTTTTTCCTCCTTAATGCTCTGCATGTCTCTGCAGGCTCCATCCATCCCTACACTCTTTGAACTATTAATCTGTCCATCCATCCTTGCATCCATCCCTGCAACCCTTTCATTTACAGAGAAACCTGTGATCTGACACCAGGCAGCGCAGAGGACAATAATAACACAGTGAGGGCGGATGCTGCTGTGGCGACCAAGCGCCCCACTATGAATGAATGCATGGGATGCCATCCATGACGGGTGACGCCACCGGCTCGAGTTATTGTACCATCTGTGTTAAAAACTCATGTCTAACGTCCTCAGTTCATTTCTTGCTCCTGAAAACTATAAAAAAATAAGTTTCTCACCAAAGTACTCCTGGCGGTTCTCCGTGGCCTCCCGTCCAGGTCCGACTCCAGGGTCCTCCTGAGGTTTGCCGGGCCCCCCAGCTGACGAAGGCCCCAGTGTCGCTGAGCTCGGTTTGGAGAGAGCCGTCAGGGCGAGGGACTGCTCTTTCAGCATCAGGCCCTCCAGGAGCCCCTCGCCCTCCAGCGCTGCATCTCTCAGTAGAAGTCGGGTGAGCTCTTCCTGGTAGCGGGTGCCGGGCAGGTCTGAGTAGCGGGCCCTCTCTCCCATCACACCCCCCTCTTTGCCTCTCGCCCCCACCTGCTGCTCATCCCACCACTCTGGGCCACCCTGGTAACATGCAGCCGCTGGGCTTCCTACAGCAGGTGGGTAAGAGTGTCGACTATCGTGGGCCCCTGCACGCATCCCTCCGTCCAGGTATTGAGTCCAGGCCTCTACAGGGGTAACCCCAGCCCTTCCTGGGGCGCCGTAACCAGCCACACACATCCCTGACTGCATAGAGGGGGACGGCTGCTGTGGAGGGAGTCCTCCAGAGGCAGAGTACCGGGAGTCATAGCCCAGGCTGATGCCGCTGGTCCGGTTGCTGCTACAGCGGCTCCCCATGGGGCTCCCACCCCCGCCGCCGCTGGCCGTGCTCGAGGCGAAGCTGGACCTGGGGCTGACCAGCACCGACTCCTGGAGGCTGAAAGACGAGCATGGGCTCCCAGTCGGCCCTGGAGGGTAGAAGAAGCTTCCTCCTACACCTCCTCCAGTCACATCAGAGGGGCGATGTGGTGGATGAGAGAGGGACGCAGGCCTGGGGCTCTCCCATAGTTCACTACCTGTGCTCAGGCGTTTGTAGAACAGAGCCTCCTGAAGAGAGAGACGCTTGTGCCTCTCATGCTCAGAGAGGTACCCGGTCTCAGCCAGACCACCTCTGGGGGCCGACCCATAGCCCCCGGCGGCAGGGTACGGTGGAGGCACAGAGAGAGGAGGCGGCTGGGAGAGGAGCTGCTGTCGTTTGACCAGCTGCTGCAGCTCCAGGGAGTAGCGGCGCTGATTCAGGGACGTCCTGGATCCAAACGTCCCCATAGGGTCACACTCGGGGCCCAGGCCAGACTCCCGCCTCATGTGGGAATCCACACCTTCCCCCAGGTAACAGGAAGCTCGCTGCTGGGGGGAGCGACGCCTCAACGGTGCCAAGGTGGAGGGGTGAAGCTGCTGCTCCCCATCTGAAGATATGGTGCCCACTGTGACGGAAGTCTGTGGTGAGGTGAGGAGCTGAGGGGGTGGAATGCCTCCCCCTCCTCCCCTCCCACTCGCTGGAACACATGCATCACTTGTGGTTGCAGAGGCAAGCGGGAACTGGCCAGGTCTGGAGGGCGAGGCAGCTGCAGAGCCGGGAGCTGGTGGCAGACCGCTGCCCCCGCCACCACCACCTCCTCCTCCTCCTCCTCCTCCAGGGATGCCAGCGTTGGCGTTGCTGTTATTGGAGTTGTTGGCAGAGTCCTGTTTTTTCTTGGAACTGTTGAATTTCACACTGCCCGAGTCTGTGAGCTTTAACTTCTCCAGTAACTTGCTGATGGGCCTGTCCATGATGAAGCCTTCTCCTGTGTGTGTGTGTGTTTAAATACCTGTCTGGGCACAGTCAAGTCTCACAGCTTCTCCTTGGAAGTTACAGCAGCAGAATAAAGAAATACAGCTTTTACTACGACAATTGAAATGTCAGCGTTCAAATACTATAATAACAAATCAAATACTATAATAAGAAGTTTTTAAAAACTGGCCTTTGAAGTAGCTCAAAGCTAAATTTAAAAAAAAATGGACCACTTATATATATATACACACAAACACACACACACACAATAAATACAAAAACAGATAAATTAAAGCTTTAAGACATTTCAGGGTGGTTACATGACTCAAGTCCTCGGGGTCCTCGGCCTCTATGTGGAGGATCCACAGGCGCAGGGGGACTGTGGTGGAGAAGGAGCCATTGGATTGGTGGAGAATCACTGGTGTAGTTCACCTCAGTGTGGATCCAGACAGGAAATGATGGAGACACACATCCAGGACACTTGAGAGTGACCTACGGTGGTGGAGGGCCTCCTTTGTGGGCCCTCATGTGGCTCCACATCTGCATCTTGTGAAGTGTGTGTGTTTGAGATCCAGAGTCTGTGAGAGTGTGTGTGTGTGTGTGTGTGTGTGTGTGTGAGGGAGAGAGTGTGAGAACTTCCCTCTTGGAGAAAATAAAAAGAGACAAAGCGGGATATCAACACTTCATGTGGGCTCCGGTGAGGACGACAACAACACGGATCCGTCGACTCCTGCCATTCATCCCGGGGAGAAACGTGCTCGGCGGAAAAAATGTCAAACTTTTTAAAACACAAAAAACCACAAACAGCAGCCGGTTCGCGTCCTCGGTCCGTTTCTCATCCGGTTGTTTTTCCTCGGGGGAGAAATCCGCTCCGGGACTCGGTGGAACATGAGTAGCGGAGAAGTTTGGAGGAGACGGAGAAGGAGACGAGGGAAACCGGGATCTCCGTTAACTCACATCCCGGCGGAGGAGCAGCGGAGCGGCGGGACCGAACGAGCCTCCGGGGGGGGGGTCTGTAAAATCCTTCCCCGTGAGTGGTGCACGGTGGACGGCAGAGTTTCTTTCTTTCTTCCCCCTGAATAATGACCGACCTCCCCCTCTTCTTCTTCTTCTTCTTCTTTTTCAACTGTGTCGAGCTGTCCGCGGCGGAGCGAGCTGCTTCCGGGTACGGCTTTTCAAAATAAACGCTCAAACATAGCACTGCATGGGCGCCGCAGTAGTTTGGGTTGTAAAGTTTTAAATCCTGCCTCCATCCATTGCTGCATTGAACTCCGCTGATCCTCCGTGTTTTCTCCGAAAATGTCCGAATAAGACGCTCCTGGATTTGCTCTAATATCTAAATGTAAAGTCAGGAGACGTCAATGTGAGGACACATGCACTCAGTCATATGAAACATTATTCCTGCAGTAAATCCAACCTCTGTGATGGGTGTATTATTATTATTTTCAGTTTCAGAGGTGTTGATCCAGCCTATTCTGTTTTATAAAGGTCGTGGACAAAATAATAGAAACACCTCGGGCATGGGAATTGTGTTTTCCACCATGCTGGAAAAAGTAAATGTTGACATTACGTTTTATTTCACGTTTCTAAAAATACAAACTGCAACAAACACAGACTCCCTCACTGTAAACACAGCCCCTGTATAGTTTGTGCACACTTTATTGTGAAGGGGACTTCCTGTGTGTGTGCAGTTTGTCACCTTGCTGCTCCTGGATCAGCGAACGGCCGGAACACCTTTCCACCACAGAGTGTCTGTTTCGTCATTCATTCGCAAAACTGCTCGGAGGAAGTTTCTGGGACCTGATCCCTGCAAACAACAACACCACTGAGTCTTAATAATCCACCGTCACCTGGAACTCGGGGCTTTGAAAGAGGAAAAAAGTTGTTGGATTTCTTGACAAGCTCTCAAAGTTAAAAAAGTTCTCTCGCCATTTTCAAATAAAGTCTTCCACCTCCCACATACTTGAGCTCATGTCTGGATTAGTTTTGGATTAACATGTGACGGGTTGACAGCGGAGGAAGATCTCACAGTGAAGTTAAGTTTGAAAATATTCTGCAACATGTTAAACTTCTTAATTAAGTAAAACATACACAAGTTTTACCATTAGAATAAACTTAAAATACCCAAACTACGCATTTAATACAGTCATAACACACTGTATATTATCATTTATGGTACAATAAGGTGTAAGTATCACTAATGTAGCTGAAACATCTTTTATTGAGGAACTTTATTGAATGAAGGGACACAGTGTTACTTCAGTGTGGTGAGCAGGGACAGTGGACAGCAAGGTCATGTCCTCCCTCCACTATAGCAAGGTACTTTTA